GGGGTCCCTCCTCACCCAACGCCGCGCACCCCAACAGACTCCACCACAGCAAACCCACACCAGGGATCAGAGCCCCACTGAGGAGGCAGAGCTCCGCCGAGAACGGCCAAATCAAAGGGGCGGATAAAGGCGAGAACATGGGACTTACCATCTCCGGACGGGGCATTGACTGATTGGGAAAAGAGAAGAACAAATCTAGGCCCGTCGCCGACCGGGAGAGGCTCAACCGCCAGAGAAAACCCCATACACTCCCGGGATTCGGAACCCTAATTGCCGCCTTCCAGGGAGAATCAGTGGAGAAAAACGGCATGGGGAGGAGAAGGACGGTCATGACGACCCCTGGCCGTGCATCTGCCGGCGAAAAGGAAGGCCAATCGGCCGGATTAAAGATGTCCTCAAGAGCAGATTTTTTTGGGGATCAGTCGCGAGCGTTGGCAAATATGAGATAAGATGCAAATTGAAGACCTTATATTTATTGTACACTAATAAAAATTATAATAAAATATTATTTATGAATATAAATATTAATAAATGATAAGTTATTAAACTTGTTGTCATAAAATTATTGTTAATACGATTATTTGAAGTTTGGACTGCATCACATTCACGTAATAAAGTATTTTCAATCTTAAAATTTATATTTAGGTTCAACAATCGATTTGGTCTGGTCAAACTGATACATAACTTAGTCATCTAGGACCAACCAAGTTGTGTGACGTGTCAAGTTTTTTTGACTATTTTTAATATCACCTAAAATTAGTTCAATCAACCTAGCCAGTACCCTAATTCAATCACTTGATCCAAAGAAACATCCTTATTTTATTTAAATATATTTAATTTTATGAAATAAAAGTATTTTATGATTCATATAATAAATGTCTACACCAAATGATAGTATATTAATATTAAAAATTATATATCTAAAGATGAATTTGTTATATTTACATTATGCATATTTAATAAAAAATAAACATAGTAATTTTTTTAAAAAAAAATAAGATTAATTGATTGATTATCAAGTTAAAGAATATTTTAGCCTTCAATATTTTATTTAAAGGCACAAATATAAAGACCGAGATTCTAAATTTTTGTTATTTGAATTGAAATTTTATAAATATTGAAATCGAGATTTTAATATTTTTCGTTGTTTTTAAGAAAATAAAAATAAAAATAAAAACATGCACTTAATAGATTTTAGCCGAATTTTTTAAATAAAAAAATGAACTAAAGCCTGAAACTTAAGTTAGCATTAATGTTGTATGAAAAATATAATAATAATAATAATAATAATAATAATAATAATAATAATAATATTAATGATAATAATAATAAGGAAAATAATAAAACTTACTATTTATGGTTACATTAAATTTTGAATTTTTTTTTTTTTT